TAATGCTAGCTACTTAGGAGGCTGAGATCTGACGAATGTGGTTTGAAGCCAGCCCTAGTGAGAAAGTCTGTGAGACACTTATCTCTAATTAAGCACCCAAAAAGCCAGAAGTATAGTTGTGGTTCAAGTGGCAGAGTAAGCCTTGAGCAACAAAGCTTAGGTACAGCACCCAGGCCCTGAGTTCGGGCCCCAGGACCAGCACAAAAAACAACACAGTACATACATCACCAGGGAAAGGATGAAAGATCCATACTTCCAGAGCTCTGCTAGCTATAGAGATAGTGCAGAGATCAGCAGAAACCACTCAAAGAGATAAAGTACACATATCCATGAAACAAAGCCAGGATGCTAAAACAAAAAACAAACAACTGAAAGATAAGAGCGAGCTTTAAGGTACTAAAAATAGGACAGCACAAAAAAATTAAAACACCATTAAAAGGCTGGAAGATAAATGAAGGAAATCTCTTAAATGATAGTATAAGGAAATAGGAGTGGAAAGGTCATGAAATTAAACCATTTTGACAATAGGAGGTCCAAAAAGAATGAAGTCTGAAAATGTAGGGGAGAAAGGTTATTTTAAAAAAGAAAATCCACCACCATTTTTCAGAGTTGAAGGACAAGAGTTCTTAGATTGCAATGCTATCAAGTATATGGTCTTTGAATTAAAAGAAAAAGACACACAGTAAAGCACATTGCTGTGAAATTTTAGGAATTTGGGAGGTGGAGAAGAGGTTCTACCCAAAGGATTAATAGCACAATGTTTATTTCAATAACAATGCCAACATCTAGAAGCTAGAGAGAGCAATTTTTCCATCAAAATTTTGATGGAAATACAAATTTTAGCCCTGGTGTTTGTACTCAGAAGATGAAGACAGGGACATATTTAGGAATGCCAGAATTCAAGTGACTTCTGGGGCATTGTTTTCTAGGTAAAGGAAGTGCTCCATTGAAATGAGAAGGGAACCAAAGAAAAACACACCAGCCATAGAGGATAGTGTAAGAAGGACTCAGGCATGGAAGGCAGTCAGAGCAGATTGGAACAAGGGTTTAGAGAGCTCCAGAAATGTCTCTAGTGAAGACCACATGGTGAAGCTTTTATGTGCAGGGGATATCTACAGGTAGCATCAAGGTATTGAAATATGTGGAATAGATGAATTATGGATATGTGTAATAGCAAGGAATTGAAAAATAAAAACACGTAATTCTTAACTTTAAAAAAGCCAGTTATAGTTTTTTAAGAGGTGGCAATGGCACAGCATTGAGTAAAACATCCACAAGGTGTAATAACATATATACTGTCACTGATTTAAAAATTATATAATGTAAAATACAGATGGAAATTCAGGAAAAGGAAGAACAAACTGACATTCAGGGTCCAAAGTTTTTTTTTTCTTTTTACTGGATCACAATGTAGCCTCCTAATTCTTTCCCCCACAGGTACAGTCTTTAACAGTGGTTAAAACAAACAAACAAACAAAAACAAGTACCTTTTAATTTAGTAAACTCTCCATTCTGGCCATGATTTTTGGAGGGCACGGGAAGGGTGTGTGGCTGTCTGTTTCCTCAGTTGATTTGTGAGCACTGGAGAAATTACAAGGAACAAAGGGAAAAGGAGCCATAAATACAAATGAATTCCTTTTATACAAGTTAAAAAACCACAGGACATGCTCCACTTTCTTTTCTTTTTTTTAACACTCCAGGTGTGATGGGAGATTACGTATCCACCACAGGAGAGAAGAGACTTAATTAAAATTTTTGCTCCAACTCACAGAAAGAAATGTCTTTCCGTTTGATAAGCAGGCTGGCTTTTGAGTGCTATTGCTGCTTTCTTCTCTTCTCGATGGAGTGTCACAAAAAAAGCAGATCAAAGAGAGCCTTCCATCCGGATCTGTTTCTTACCACCTTTCATAGCTAATGGACTTAAAAGTGTCAGCCACTGACTGGGAGTGTTCATCAAGCTGGTTTGGAAATGCTATCTTCTTACTGTATTGATAATATGCAAACGGACTTTGGTAGATGTTTATGGAAAACCACATTTAGCATTAATTAAACAGAGACCAGCCCAGAGAGTTAGAATGGGGAGAACTTGGAAGAGGGTCACACCACTTCCACCATTTGTATTTTACTCATCAACTCTACCCAGTGAGTGATTGATGGCCAGAAATTAGCACTTGAGATTGAACCCTCCCAAGCCCAGTAGGTCTTGTGTTTTTCCCCTTTTCTTTTTGGTCTTTCAGCTGTTGCACCCTCTAGCCGACATCTCTTACCCCAAGGGGAGGGAAAGTGTTTCGGAGAAATTCCCTGCTGTTTTTCTCTTCAAGATAGTGACAAAATGAAATAAAATGGAGCAAAATAGAAGCGGCAGGGTGAGGCCTGACTGAGAGGCTGGGTCAGGCTGCCGCTGGAGTTGTTCATTGTCTTGCAGCTCTAGGCACCCGCAGAGAAAACTCCAGTCTGGGGCTACTGCCACCAATAAAAGGAATCCATTCTGCCACTCAGGGCTTTGTGAGGTGCCAAAGCTTGTCCTGGTTGCTATGGCTACTGTCTGATTGTGGTGGGTTTGTCACAGTGCTTGATAAAGTGGGAAGGTTATTCTTGATAGACCCAAGTCATCATAACCCTGCAAAGCTTAGAGTGTGGATTTAAATTTTTAAACCGGAAATGCTGGGGTGGGGGAAGGGAATCTCAGCATATCACAGCCAATGCCACCACACTCTTCGGCCTGAGGGCTGTGCCCAGCAGGAGGAATCGTGGCTATGGGGCAAAAAGGGGAGGTGCCCCTATATCCTAAGGGCTGCTGGCCACCTGCTGAGCCATCTTGGTCTGATTGAAGTTTCCAAGACACCCTTTCCTGACACCTGTAAATTGATGGCCCTCTCTCTCTCCCCTCTCTTTCTCCCTCTCCCTCATCCCCCCTTCCTAGTTTCCTTCCTTTACTAGTTTAATGCCCCACTCCCCCTTTGGTTCAGTAGTATTTCCCACAGACACAGCTGATCCTTTAAAAGTCTGTGTTTTTCTTCCTCAGAAAGCAATAGGAACCCTTAGATTGGACATGACAATGAATGGATGCTGGTCCTAGAATTATAGACATGGTGTCTGTGTGTTTGTGCTAGTACAGGGGCTTGAACTCAGGGCCTGGTTGCTTTCCCTTAGCTTTTTTGCTTAAGGCTGGTGCTCTCTCATTTGAGTTACACCTCCACTTCTGGCTTTTTGGTTATTAATTGGAGCTAAGAGTCTCACAGACTTTCCCACCCAGCTGGCTTCAAACCAGAGTCTTCAGATCTCAGCCTCCTGAATATGTAGGATTACAGGCATGAGCCACCAGTGCCTGGCTGACATTTTTTCCCCCAGAAGATGAACTAGGAGGTGAGCTAGGCAGATGCGCTAGGAGGTGCGCTAGGCAGAAGTCTCTGGTTTAGTTGCAGGGCTCTACTCTTTAAAACACAGCTTCCAGCAGCTCTCTGATTCTGAGTAAGCAGATCTAGGCTAGACTGAGGATCTGTATTTCTTCAGTTTTCAGGTGAGGCCTTTTGCTGGCTCCACCAAGCTTTGAGAGCCTCTGGACAGGCCCGTACTTTGTTTCATACAGTTGAGGAGGAAAACAAGGCTCCCAAAGGATAGTTTGCCAGGAGGTTTAGGTGACTTGGCATGGTGAGTGGGTACCCAGTTATAGAAGCTCAGGAGGTAAACAGATGTTCCCTTATCTCTCCTCTCCTTAGTCAGGACAGCAAGATGAGCTAGATTTGTTCTCCCAAGACCACCAGCTCCTGTGGCCTCACCAGACTCTAGGCCCTCTGTGAAGAGCATTCCAGAACAAAACACAAAAGGTGCTAAGTTCAAGTTCTGCCCACTCTATTTCTCCCCACCCAAGAAGCCCAGTTTGACCACAGCCTAGACTCACCCCGCCCCCCTCACTGATGTTTGAAGCCTGGGTGGTTTCAAATGAAGTGACATTACTTGCCTATTTGTTTATTGTGAACTCTCAGGGCTGGACAGGGCCTTTGCACCCAGTGTATCTCTGAAATACTAGAAGGATGAATCTGTGTGCCCACACAGGCTGGAGAACACCCGAGCAGTGTGAGTGAGATTTCCCACAGCCAAAGACAAGAAGCCAGCTGACAAGGGGAGCCACCGTGCACCCAGAGCAGGGATAGGGTGAGGGGTGCTGAGGAGAGGTGAGGCCTACTATCCGTATAGTGAGCCCAAGTGGCGGCCTCACATTCTGGGCTGGCTGCCTGTGCCAGCAGGGCTGTGTTACTCAATTGAAAGACAATTGGGTTGGGAAGGTGGCTCAGTGGTAGAGCACTTGCCTTGCATGCATGAGGCCCTGGGTTCGATTCCTCAGCACCACATAAGCAGAAAAAGCTGGAAGTGGTGCTGTGGCTCAAGTGGTAGAATGCTAGCCTTGAGCTGAAGAGCTGAGGGACAGCACCCAGGCCAGTTCAGGCCCCATGACCAGAAAAGAAAGGAAGGGAGGGAGGGAGGGAAGGAAGGAAAAAAGGAAAATTGTTAGTCCAACATATCTAATGTGAAATAAAGCTAGTCTTCATTTATCCCGTGTGTGTGTGTGTGTGTGTGTGTGTGTGTGTGTGTGTGTTGCTGCTGCAGGATGACTCGATCATCTGACTCGATCATCTGTCAAATGTAATTTAACTCCTTGTGACATACTCAGGTCACTCAGAGCAGTGTGTGTTACCTTACATGCCCTGAGTGTGTCTCAGAGGCATAGGAATTATGCTTCTCTCCAGAGGCTGTTTGTCCAGATGAGAATAAAACAAAATGAATGGATTCCTTTTTTGGGGGCTCTACTTTCTTACAGATTGGACTGGGGCTCTAGGGAGAAATCCCAGGTGGACACTTGGGCTCCATGTATGCACACCCACTGTGCCTGGGCTAGTGGGTAGAAAGGTCCTCTTGGGGGTGGGAGAGATGAGATGGGGGAGGGCTGAGCCTAAGTGAGGCTGCAACAGTGCTCACCATGGGTGGCCTTTCTTCCACAGGGTGCTGAGGTGCAGACAGACTATGTACCGCTGCTGAACTCACTAGCAGCCTATGGCTGGCAGCTTACCTGTGTGCTACCCACTCCCGTTGTCAAGACTACCAGGTAAGGAGGACCAGACTATAGTTACTGGGACTATGAAGCACTTAGGCCAGGAGGGCCAGGGTCAGGTGACTTCTCTCTCTCACCATGAGTTTCCTCGTGGAGGACCTGTGCCCAGTGAATCAGGGCTGCCCAGTGGAACTGAGATTAGCCATTAGCCATCTGAGCCAAGGAGGCCCAGAGCTCTCAGAGACTAAGGAAGTTCAGCACCTACTCTGTCCCTCCTGCTAGACTAGGTGCACACTTAGGGCATAGGAAAGAAGGAAGAAGAGGAGAGGAGGGGAAGAGTCTATGGATTTTTTTTTTAGTTTCTTTGAGTCACAGGCTGCTTGGGAACTCATAATCTTCCTTCCTTAGTCTCTCAAGTGCTGGGACTAGAAGGATGTGCTACCATGCCTAACTGGATTTTTTTCTTCTGTACTAGAGTTGAACTTGGGGTCTTGTACTTGTTAGGTATGTGCAGCATACCTAGCCCTGTTCTTTTTTGCATTTGTGTGTGGTCTGGGCCTGGGCACTGTCCCTTCAGTTTTTCGTTCAAGGCTGGCACTCTACTGCTTGAGCCACTTCTGGTCTTTTGGTAGTTAATTGGAGATAAGTCTCACATACTTTTCTGCCCAGGTTGGCTTTGAACTGTGATCTTCAGATCTCAGCCTCCTAAATAAGATGATAGGCATGAACCATCTGTGCCCAGTTTGCTTTAGTTATTTTTTTTAAGAATTTAGATCATGGTTTTTTATAAATAAGTATAAACTGAAAAATTGCTATTATTTCTAATTTTTGAATAAATTCCATTTAATAAAATTTCTAGGACCCCAGATAGCTTTAGCTATTTTTGAGATGGGGTTCAAGTTTATGTCCACGTCAGCATGGCCTTCAGTCCTCCAATTGACATTCCTCTGGAAATTTTACATCAAGTCCATTTTATAGTCAAGGGAAGTATGGCCAGGAATATTAAAGGACTTGCCTGAGATCATGTTCCCACAAAGACCACAGGAAAACCTGGAGTCTCAGTGCGTATTTATGGCATTCCTTATAAGTTCACATCCATGGCAATTTGTCCACCTTCATTTCTTGCTTCATCCCTTAAGCCTAGTCATAGCCATCCTAGAAGGCCCTCAGTATTTGGGGCTTGCTATCTGAATCAGTGCTCCTAACTTCCATATAGTGTCCTAAGCATAAATGGGAAAGTGAAGTTCAGACACCATCACATGACTGAGGCTCCATAGCCCACATGTGCCAGAATCTGGGCCTAGATCCACTGTGTACATCAGGCACTTCTGCATCCGGATGGCTCTCTGTGACTTACAGGGATGCTCTGTGCCTCACAGCTGTTCTCCCAAGTTCCTGCTGCATACTCACTGCTCTAGGGCCTGGAGTGGTTGAGGGAGGATGGAGAAACTGGGTCCCACCCATGGTTCCTCTGGGTCTGCAGCCCCTCCTGACACTAGGCCGTGATGCAGTCTCTGGCTACCTTTGGGTCCCTTAGTCACTGGGAGCTGCTATAAAGTTTCTCAGCCAAGACTTTCACAACCACAGGGCAGGGCAGAGGGGACAGAAAAAAGCATGAATTCTAGGCTGTGTCATCCTGGACGATCCTGAGCCTTCTCTGAGTCCATTTCCAGAGGACATTAATCATGACTGTAGTGCGTTTGACAGTGAAGCACAGCTGGTTCTGAGCTTTCTAAGCCCAGGATAGACGGGACTTTGTCTTAGACATTCACACTTGCTAAATTATCCTCCCGGATCCTCCCTTCTCCTGCTCCTGAGACTGGGCGGAGCTGTGTTGGGTCTTTGCTCTGTTGGCTGCAGCCTGCTCCTGAGCTAAGCTTTTGCCTTCTGTCTGTAAAAGTGGAGTCAGCTGTCTTGGAACACAGAGGTAAGGCTGAAATTAGCTCTCATGTGACATCACCAACTCGACTCCTTGCACAATATAGGCGCAGAACAAATGCTAGTCCTTCCTCTCCTTTCTCTGCAACTCTTGGCTGAATGCAGCAAGAAACCGATTTTAAAAGGTGATCAGAAGACCTTCCCTTTACCCTGTCTGTTTCTGAAGGCTTTCCTGTATCATAGTAGGTAAACCACCTTTCACCTCCATCAGGGTCAGAGCTGATTATCAGAGCCTCCCTGGCTTTCCTGGCATCCACCTGCCTGTGGCAGCCAGGCTGTGACTGAGACCCCATCCTGAAACAGTTGAAGGCCTGAGCTCATCACCCAGGTCTTTATCCACCTGCCCCTGACCAGTATGACCAAAGATGGAGTTGGAAGAGGACTGCCCCTTGGAGACTCACTGAAGCAGCTTTTGTGTCTTCATGAAGCCAAGATGTCAGCTGTTAGAGGAAGAGGAGCCTCCAGCTAGGAAGCTGGCTTTCAGGGATGCCCAAGAATTTTGGGGGGGCAGGGAGCAGAGTGGGAGGTGATCTTTCTTAGCATTTGGCGGCAGTTTTTCCTGTGCAGGAATGAGCCTCAGCTTTGCACCTGGGGCTGCCTGCCACCAGCTGTCAGGGGACTCACCATCAGCTCTGTGTGTTGCAGGGAAGGCAGCGTATCCACGAAGCAGATCGTCTTTCTCCAGAGACCGTGTCTACCTCAGAAAATCAAGAAGAAGGAATCCAAGGTAAGAGACCTTGATGGCCTTCCTAGCTTTTCCACAGCAGGGCTTAGCTTCTTTGGGGGGAGGGGGGTCCTGCAGCATTTGGGTGGGGAGCTATGCCAATTGCCAAGGATGTCAGAGCCCCTTGGCAAAGTGGGTCACACTGGAGGCTGCTGAAATTGGACAGTGGAGAGCTGGAGATTTGTTCTGTAGGTCTCCTTCTGGCCAGCCTGGGAAGACAAGACAGAAGCTTTTCTGGCCACCCACCTAATACCAGGCAGTCCTACAAGGCCAGAGCAGGACACAAGCCAGCTGTAGTCTAACAAGGGGTGGCAATGGTTGGAGCTCATGGCCAGCATCCTCATCATCTGCATCTCACAACAAGCTGGCTGGAGCTCTGGCTTATGTATTAGATTCCTTGAGACAACTGAAGTTTGTTGGTCTTGGCAGAGACCCTGCCTGAGTCCATTCTAATCAGGTCTCAACTGAAGGTCTTTGAGTGACAGAAGGTCAAGTCGTTGGGCTGGGCTGTACTCAGGGGTCCCCAGAGCCCTTTTCCCACTCCCTGGACTTCACGTGAACTATGTTGGGCATTGTTGTACAGAAAGATCAGGGCCTTCCTCAGAATCTTCCCATGTTGCCTGAAACTGGGCTATATTTTCCCCTTGTGTTATGTGATTCTGATCCTTGATAGTGCCATGCTTGGTATTTTTCCTGTGTGTTTTCGTTTGAATCTTACATATCCCCAAAGGCTCAGATGTTGCAGACTTTGTCCCTAGCTGGTTGCACCATTGGGAGGTGGTGGAATATTTAACAGCTGGTGCCCTGTGGGAGGAAGCTAGGCCATTAGGAGTCTGCTCTTAGAGGGGATATTGGGACTCTGCTCGCTCTTTCTCTCTGCTTCCTGGCCACCAAGAAGTGAGCAGCTTCTTCACCACTCACTCCCTGCCATGAAGTGCTATCTCACCACAGGCCCAAAGGCAATGTAGTCAGCCAACTAAAGACTGAGTCCTCTGAAGAATGAGCCAGACTACATCTTTCCTCCTTTTAAGTTGACATTCTCAGGTATATTGTCACAACAGCAGAATACTAAGACATAATACTAAGACTAAACTGGTATGTTACCAGTTTCTCAGAGAGAGACCCAGTAAGTTGGGGGACCTACCAAAGCCTCAATTAGGTGGTACCTGGTTCTACATTTGTCTGCTCCAGCCAGGGCTCCACTCAGGCAGAGCCCCTGATCTGCTCAGCTCTGCATACTTGGCTCCCTCCTGTCATTCCCCACCCCCAGTTTCTCATAGTCTTTGGATGCAGAAAGAACATCAGGCAGAAGCATCCAGTCAGTGAACAGATTGGAGTAGCCTCTCACTAGCCAACAAATCCAGAGGGTTCCCTCTCATGGAAGGAGTGCCAAGGTAATGGCAATGTGAAGCCAGATGGGCTGGAGTGCGGAGGAAGGTCTCTCTCCAGCCTCTGAGACCATAATGTGACAGGTGACAGCAGCAACGGACCAGAAGGCAGCCACCAATACACCATTAACCACCAGGAGCAGTCAGCTACCAGCTGGAAGATGGATGGCCACAGACCTCTATCAGAGTGTGCCGAGCTGCAGGCTGACTGGACAGCACCATCCCCAAAACTCAAGAGCAGCACATAAGTTCTCCTGCCAGGAGCTGGAAAGAATCACACTTTGGCTTTAAGAGGGAAGTGGCACTGCCTTGTCCTGCTGGGCACCTGCTCCTGTGTGCCTTAGTTTTTATAGGGAAGTCCCTGTCCTAAGCCAGCAGCAAGATGATACGGATGGATTTTAAACCTGTTGTCAGGTAGAATTGATTCCCTCTTCCTCCCCCATCCCTTACCCCCCACTCTACCTCTCCCTATCCTCCTCCCTCTCTTCTCTGCCCTCTCTCCTCTCTGCCCTCTCTTTCTTCTCTCTTCCCTTTTCTCCTTTCTCCTCTCTCCTTCCTCTCCTCTCAATGCCCCTCTCATTTCTCCCTCCTCTCTCTCTCCTCCCTCTGTACTAGTCCTAGGGCTTGGACTCAGCCTGGTTCTGTCCCTGAGCTTTTTTTTTTTTTTACTTGATTGACATTTTGCCACTTTAGCCACAGTTCTACTTCTGGAATTTTGGTAGTTAACTGGAGATAAGAGTGTTTTGGATTCATCTGCCTGGGCTAGCTTTGGACCTTGAACCTCAGATCTTAGCCTGCCCAGTAGCTGGGATTATAGGATTGAGCTACCTAGTGCTTGGCATACCTTTCCCTTTTAATGAACCCTTTGATTTCCTGTGTCAATCACAGCCTGGAGGTGGCTGGTGTGGAGCCTTTGTTCTCTGATTCACTTCATTGGTAGAGTCATCAAGACCAGGGACTTAGCAGCAGAACTTCTTGGAAGAATCCCCTGTACTTAGTGCCTCCGTCTCTTCGACCCTGTCATTCATACCCCTCCACCCTGCCTGTGTGTCCCCAAGGTTGATGACAGTGACTCTGTCCAGTACCACTTGTGGCTCCCTCAGATCTGTGTGAGTTGCACCTTTTTTTCTTGGCTTTCTCTCACCACATTCTCCCGATTTTTTTAATTTTTTTTTTTCCACATTACTCAGGGTTCAGCCCCAGCCCATTTCTCCTTACTCCTACCTCTTCTTGGGGATGCTTCAGCCCAGAGTTTCACTCTCCCATCTCTATATGGGGGACCGTTTCGTCTGCATTTTCAGCTCTCACTTTTCCTGAGACTCCTGCACCCTCTCTCCATCTAGAAGCATGCCCCTCTAGTACTCAGTCTGCTTCTGCTATGTAGAGGAGCGGTGCCCACCCCTGAGTCCTCCTTTACTTGCCTTTACCTTTCCCCTATGTGCCTGTTTGCCTGGAAGACCTGTCTTGGGCTCTAGAAACTCTGAAATCCCCCCCCTTCTTCTGTCACCCCTAGTAATAGTATCTTCTAGCATCAGCTCTCTGCCTCCAGTGTTTTCTGTTAAGAGCCACAGTGATTTTTAAAGAAAGTCAATTAAATCATGTCATCCCATTGCTGAAAGCAGTTATGCAGCTTCATTTTATTCTGAAAGGTAGAGACCTGTACTGTATCCACAAGGCCCCTTATCTCATCTGCTAGCCTTGCATTCTGCATTCAGCCTTGTCAGCCTCCACACTCTGGGTCCCTCTTAGCCATGGGACCACATATTTGGCTGTTCCTTCTGCCTAGAACACTCTCTTTCTATTCTGTCTCCACTCAAGCTTCCTTTTCTAGGACCGTGGTCTCTTCTTTGAGAACTAGCCAGGCTCCTCCTTAACACTAAGAACCACAATACCCCCTTGAGAAGGTCTACTATGGGCTCCTCATTCTTTGTGATCCTGGGCTCGTTCTCTTCTCTCCAGTCATTCCCTCCTTGAGGACAAAGGCTTTTCTTCCTCTGCTTACTGTTCATCCAGGACCTGTATTTTAGTTGACATGCAGCAGATAATCTGTTGAATCAATGACTACTCATTCAATCAGACTTTGGAAACCAGAACACACATATCTCACGTTGAAATTTAAGAAAGAAATTGGCAAGATTGGAAAACCAAGGATTTAGAATATTCAGTCTTCTCTCAGTCAGTGAAGTGGATGAAATTCTCTAAATCAAGACTTTTCAGCATTTGAAAGAAACCTCTGTATATGTGAGCATGATTTTCGAAGCCAACATTAAATGCCTTTAAAAGAAATAGGTGATTTCTACCACACCAGAGGAGTCTTTCTCCCAGCAGAAGCTCTTAGAGTGAACCAATTATAGACAGTTTCAAAAAGGGCCAATTAAATCCATCAGCCCTGGCTGGCACAGAATTCTGGGTGTACACTGCTCTAAAGGGAGACTTTTCCCTTTTTCCAGTTGAGTTGGGTGGACGGTCAGTTAGTGATATAGCAAGGTGTTTGCCACCCCTCATGGCTCATAAAGGCTCTGACTGGGTGCAGCTGGTTTTCCCTCTGGCTTGTTGGTTGAGCCAGACTCCTGGCTGAGGAAAGTGCTCTCCAGGCCTGGTTACAGGCCTTGAGAGCCACCATCTGAAAGCCACATCCTGGTTTCTATGTTTTCTGAGCATTTCCTTTTGGAGTCTCGGGATCTGGAACTCTTCTTGGTGTGTATTTCATATCGTGCCCCTGCTTAAAGGAGAACCAGGCCTGCATGGTGAAGGGCCACCAAGAAGAAAGGAAAGGGGAGGAAGTCTGCGGCATGGTAGAGCTGGGTCTGTAGAAGGGCTGGGGAAGTGGTTCCTGACCTCCCCCACACACACACTGCCCCCATATTTCTGCAAGCAGCCTAGTTGTGCCCAGTCCTGTTTTGCTTTTTTGTGCCAGTACTGGGCCTTGAATTCAGGACATAGCCCTAAGCTTTTTTTTTTTTCTTTTTTTCTTTTTGGGGTCCAGTCGTGGGGCCTGAACTCTGGGCCTGGGCGTTGTCCCTCAGCTCTTCAGCTCAAGGCTAGCGCTCTACCACTGGAGCCACTTCCGGCTTTTTTCTTATGTGGTGTTGAGGAATCGAACCCAGGGCCTTATGCATGCAAGACAAGCGCTCTGCCACTGAGCCACCTTCCCAGCCCGCCCTAAGCTTTTTATATGCAAAGCTAGTATGCTACCACTTGAGAGACAGCTCCATTTCTGGCTTTATTGGAGATAAGAGGCTCATAGACTTTCTTGCATGAGCTGGCTATGAACCTTGATCCTCAGGTCTCAGGCTTCTGAGTAGCTAGGATTACAGGTGTGAGCCATCAGTGCCTGGCTTTTCTTACACCCATGCCGGGTGTTTTTCTTAGATCAGTGGTTTTCAAAATGTGGCTGGAGGCCCAACAGTAGCAGCAGATGGGGAGTTTGTTAAAATGAGAAGTCCGCTTCTCCCCCTACCCCAGTGGGCTGAACAGGGCCCTCTGAGATGGGATGTGCAGCTGAGTTTTAAAGAGTCTGGTTGATCCTGGTGGTGAAGGCCAGGGTCTTAATTGTACAGTTTGGGGCCTCTCCCAGGCTTACCTGTAGGCCTTCAGTCAAATTTTATCCTAATTGAATTTTTATAAATAGGCCTGTCAAGGAGCTCTCAGTGCAGATGTTTGTTTTTAATAAGCAGAACTAAAGTAACTTTCCTGGCAGTAAAACTGGATTTCCATTAGCTACTTCTCGGCCTAAGGAGCAAACATCTTGTCTTCTTACAGCCTAAAGGCTGAGGTGCACTTAGGCTAGGGGCTGAACATTGCAAAGGCATGGTGTCTCCTCTGCCAGCGACTTTTTTTTCAAGACCCAAGAAGTTGGCAAACTAGAGCTGGAGAAGTCAGTTGGAACCCCAGCTGTTTCCCAGCAGGTGATTGGGCAAGTTGTTTAAACTCTCTGAATCTCTATGTGGTTGTTTCGAACAGCCCTAAAAGTGCTTCCTGAAGGATTTACTTGGGGAATTGTGGGAAAGTGAGCCTAGTCTGCTTTCCCAACTCAGAACATGCAAGCTTCTAGATCCTGCAGCCCCAGATTCGGGCCACTGCTCCTTACCCAATTCCCAGCACCTTAATCTTGCCAAGAAAGGAGGCCAAGAGAAAGGCAGAACCGAGGCTCCTGCATTCTGCCCTCCCCACCACAGCTTTTCCTGGGGCTGCAGCCTACCAGGCACCAGGAAGCACACTATCACCCACAAACCCATCACAGGACACAGAAAATCAGGTAGCCCTTGTGGGGTTTTCTGGGATGACACAGAAGGGCAGAAAGTAGCTGAAACAGTTTCCCATCTTGCAATCCCAAATCCTTCTGTACCTTGTCATGCCAGAGGAAGTGGCTAGTGGCCAGCTTGTGGGCTCTAGGTGGACTTTATCTTCTACAAAAAAGGATGAGGCCAGGCTTCCACAGGAGACTGTGGAAGTTCTATTATTCAATTGAGTAAAGCATCCCTGAGAGCGCAGCTGAAGACCCCTCTCAGGGCTGGAAGGTCTGGCACATGGTAGAACTATCCAGGTAGGATGCTGACACCTGCAGATCGCGTTACTCACACCAGCCACAGTGTGACTGGGGTCCAGGGCAGAGACAGCGGTGTTAGAGATAAGGAGATTTGGAGATGAGTAACTTGCCCCATGGACTAACCTAGGTCAGAATTAGGATCTGAACTTGGAGCTCAGAAGCCATACTGTGGGCTTTCATATGTTATTTGCAGGTCAGCCTTTTAGACTAATCTCAGACTTCTCTGCCTTGCAAAATGGGAAGAGGTGCTCACCGTTTCAGGGACACCCATTAGAAATGCAAGGCTGAATCAAGATATAAAGGGAACTGTATGTCAGTTATGAAATCCAGCAGTACTGGGCCTGGAACGCCACGCCATGCCCTAGAGCTGTAGGTGTTGGAGGCTGCAGCTGTCCCCTGGACTCTGAAATCAGTGTCAGCTAATGGGTTGTGTGGCCTGGAGATGCCTAGAGGAACAGCTGCAAGTTGATTGGGCTCTGAGCACCACTTACCTGCTAGTAACCTCCCTGTAGGGTGGGAGTTGCAGCAGCCACCTCCAGAGGATAGTCAGTCCAAAAAACTGAGTGGCTGAACATCAGTGGCTCACACCTATAATCTTACCTACTCAGGAGGCTGAAATCTGAGGATCACGGTTTGAAGCTAGCCCGGGCAGGAACGTCGATGAGACTCTTCATTTCCAATTAACTGCCAACAAGCCAGAAGTGGAGCTGTGGCTCCAAGCACCCACCCTTGAGCACAAAAGCTCAGGGACAATGTGCAGGCACTGAGTGCAAGCCCAAGACTGGTGCCAAAAAAAGGTGACATTAAAATACCACCAACCTAGCATTGTAAGTGAACCCGAATAGGGTAGTGAAGGACTCCAAAAATGCCAAGCCCTAACCTCAGCATGTATTTCCCCTTTTCCTGTACCTTCATGGCTTATTTAGATTTATCAGTCTTATCTAAAAATGTGAATATTAGGAATCCCTAAGACGTGTTAATCTCAGATCCCTAAGCCTATTTAGGTCCATGTTTGGAGAAAATAGCTTTCTATCACGGAAAAAGTGGGCTGGCTTAAAAATAATTTAGCACATTTTTTTGGGTTTTCCCAGGAAAGAGCTCAGAGCTATTTACAGTGGTGAGCTTCCTACTGACTACTGACAGTGCACCTGCTTTCCCAGGACTTTTGCGGCCCTTCACAGCAACATGAGAATGAGGGCTGCTTTACTTTTTATTTCCCAACCCCTTTTGAGACAGGGTCTTGCTATGTGGTCCAGGCTGGCATTAAAAATCACGATCCCCTGCTTCTGACTCCCAAGTGCCAGAATTACAGGTGTGTCCCACCATATTTGGTTCCTTTCCATCACAGAACGTCTGAGATTTAATAAGTGTGTATTTGGGGGTAACCACTGTGGTGCAGTGTGAAGCCGAAGGAAGTGACCGTGGTGGGAACTTAAAACTGAAGGCCCTGGGTGTACTGCCGGTCACTGAGAAAACAGGCTGAGCGGCCAGGGGTGGAGTTGGGCCTCTCCTAGGCAGTTTTGCTGGAGGACTTTGATAAGACTCAGGTTCTTGCTAGGCTGTATTAGTAGCACTGTGACCTTGGGTGAGGGAGCTCTGTTGGCTTCCTGTCACATGGAGAAATGCTTAGCTGCAGACAGGTTCCCTGGGAAGCAATGTCTGGGATAGATTAGGTGGTATTAGCTTCTAGGGAGTGCCCTTAGGATGGAAGGGTTAGGAGAAATGAGCCTGTGCTATCGTTGTGACCCCCAGGTGCCACTAAATGCTGGGATGGCTTTTCAGAGCCTAGACAAAAGATGTGATGTGCCACTATGGAACAGGTGGCGGCGGGAGCGGGGCTGGCAGCGGGCAGCAGATGGGGGGAGGCAGGAGGACTTCAGTCCTGCAAGGGAATCTGCGCAGGGGAACACAGAAGTGTCTGTGCCACATTGTGCTCTGCCTGGCTCAGGTGAGCTGGGGAGAGAATACCAGCCTGATCTTGGTAATCCTTGGCCCTCAGGGAACAAGATTTGCTACAATTCTGGCCCTGGGAGTCAGAGAGGGGTGGAGGGTTCAGGGTGGGGGTGCAGCCTCATAACCCCTTGTCTCACCCATCAAATGAAAGCATTTTGGGATCACTTTCCCAAGGGGCCCATTGGGAATAAAAAACCAAACAAAAAAAAACACCTTCCACCTGTATATACCTCCACAGGTCATGGAAAGCACGGCGTGGGCCTGTTGGGCTGGGTGTGGAGGGCTGGGATTGTAGTTTGGTGTTGCTGAGGAAGTCCTGGGACTGGAGGTTGCTGGCAGGAGCCATGGCTTTAGGTGCGGCTCTAGGTTCATGGAGGTCACGTTTACTCATCTCCATCCTCCCCACTTCTAGTTTCAGTGGCGATTCTCCCGGGATGAGATGCACAGCAGGCAGATGAGGAAATCCAAAGGGAAATTCAGAGACAAACGCCACACAGAAGAAAAAGAGAAGAATCTCGAAGACCAGTTTTCCAAAGGTGGCGACATGGGAAACTGTGTGTCCGGTAGGCAGCGGAAGGGCGGAGCCTGCGAGCTGATGACGGGCCCTGTGCCGGAGGCCAGGGGAGAAGGGCAAGGTGGGGGCACCGTGCAGAACGGTCCTGCGGGTCACAGCAGGGCCCCAGCAGCCCCCCAGTGCTCTGATCCCGCAGAGGAGGCTGAAGTTACTGCAGAGCTCGCTCCAGTGGAGGGAAACTGAGTCCTGGGCACTCTGCACCAATGCTTCTTAAGCTGGCAGAACCCCAGGCCTCTGCCCAGCTGGTTTGCCCTGGTGTTCTGTGTTACCCTTTGGCTTGACCTCTCCCTGTGAGCTCATCTGGGCCTTCTGAGGGCCGGTCCCTGATAGTTTTGGTTTTTGCACATCCATTGACCTAGTGTTAGAATGAGAGGTCAGCTTATTTCTTCTAGACCTCAGGGCTGGAGGCCCAGCCCAGCTCCCCAACTCCTCCCAAAGGAGGCCTGGACCATCCAGTGCCTGTATCACCCCTAAAGCCTTCAGGGCAACTTGGGTCAAATCCATGGACATTTCTGGCTGTTCTTCACTCCCCTAGCCTGCCAGGCAGTATCCACCGCCTCTCACTCAGTGCAGCTACTTGGAGACTCTGAACAAGCCTTGGAGCCCCACGGCTGCCCTGCTCCACCTAAACGCTGCACTCCCAAATGCTTTGGCAAAGATGACATAGGAAAGGGTGGCAGGCAGCCTCCTGCTTCTCTCAAAGCAGTCCTATAGATATTGGTAACCTGGAAAGGGAGCGGTAATTCTGTGTGCACCTGCTCTTGCAGAATGTTCAAGAAAAAGTATTGTGTTAGTATTAATGCCAAAAAAAAAACTTTTTTAAAGATTTTGTATTCAGCACATCTTATGAACGAACACACGTTCCTGTCATTTCAGGGCATTCAGACTGGCTGGGTGCCCTTGTTCTGTGCTATTTTAATCAGTGTATCATTGGCCAAATTGTTACCATGTATGCTGTGTCTATGTTTATGTTGTCCAGAAAGTATTGTTTAAGGCTTTAAGTAGATGCATCTGGCAAACCTTGGAGAGAGAGAGAATGCCATTGTTTTGGCGGAAACAACAGCCTGTCTCTTCTCTTTCTTGTTTAGTTACTTAAAGCAATAAATCATCTGAGTTTAATGCCTTGTGAGTAGTATTTCCTATGTCACAACAGAAGTGTTGGCCTAGTGGCTAAGTTGTGTTAAGTCTAGCACTCCTGGCTGGCTGTGTGATTCAAACAGGCTCCCACAGAGAGCGGCAAAGCCAGGTAAGAGGGGCACACGGTGAAGACTAAATATCTTTCAGTATGATCCAAGAGTCCCATCCATTTCTAACAAGCTTTTAAGTAAAGTAGCCAACAAGGCTAATCTTTTTCATTTGAGAGTTTATTTAAAAATTCATTCCTAATATATAGTAGGCAGAGCAGAAAACTTAGTCACACCCCCCAGTCCATCTCTCTTAACAAATCCTCACCCAACCTTCAGAGCTGAAAAGGGTACAAGACCCAGTTCAAAGATACACATTTTTTTTTGGGGGGGGGGTCCGGTTGTGGAGCCTGTCCCTCAGCTCTTCAGCTCAAGGCTAGCGCTTGAACCACAGTGCCACTTCCGGCTTTTTTCTTTTTGCTTATGTGGTGCTGAGGAATCAAACCCAGGGCCTCAAGCATGCAAGGCAAGCGCTCTACCACTAAGCCACCTTCCCAGCCCAAGATAGACATTTTTAACATGACCTTTTACACAGTTATACTTGGTCATTAATAGGTCCACACTGCTTTGATTTTTATGGTTCTGGGGATCAAACCCAGGGCGTCATGCATGCTAGCAAGCTCTCTACTTCTGAGCCACACATTCTGATATAGAAGTTTAGGGAGTGCTACACTGAAAGAATATGCCAGAAATAAGAGTTGGGAACAAAAGCAACTGAAAACGAACAAGTTTTGTCCTCCCTTGCCTCCTTCTACTCCTGTCAAGGTGGCAGCAACCATCTATGGTGAAGGGTCTCACCCACATGGCAGCACCTTGGAACCGCAGGAGTGAAGGGGCAGAATTACAAAACAGTGCTGCCTAGCTATGCATCCGGTCCCAGTGCTATGAATGCATGGTGACACCTGGATAGGGAATGGCTAGTCTGGGAATGGCCCAGGAGATAAGGTGTTTTGTTTTTAAAGCTCCCTGAAGACTCTTAAGGTGCAGCTGAGGTGAGAAGCACTGACCACAGGATCTCCATGAATGTGACCACGTTTCGTTCTTCGTGAAATGAAATGCTTTTTCTGAATGGTCAACAAAGGCCCTAAAGGCCCATCTGCGTTGCAAACTTAGGGAAGGAGGGGGATCCTGAATCCTGTTTTCCAGTGCTTGTTCACAGGCTTTTTGTTTTTTGGTCAGTTGTAGGGCTTGAACTCTGGGTCTGTATACTGTCCCTCAGCTCTTCAGCTCAAGGCTAGCACTCTACACCACTTGAGCCACAGCGCCACTTCTGGTTTTCTGGTGGTTTATTGGAGATAAGAGTCTCACAGACTTCCCTGCCTGGGCTGACTCTGAACTGTGAGCCTCAGATCTCAGCCTCCTGTCGTGAGTAGCTAGGATTACAGGCTTGCGCTGCCAGCACCTGGCTGTTCACAGGACCACAACCGGACCCTTCCCCACCCCCCAAAATGTGTATCTTTGAACTGGGCCTTGTACCCTTTTCAGCTCTGAAGGTTGGGTGAGGATTTGTTAAGAGGGATGGACTGGGGGGTGTGACTAACAGTTTTCTGCTCTGCCTACTATATATTAGAAATGAATGTTGGAAGAAACCTCAGGACCAAGTAAGCACTGCGGGCATGATCAATGTGAGGAGGCAGCTTTGGGGTCATTGTCATGGTGGTCTATAAGGACCCAGGCGGCCAAGGGTGATCAGGACAACCATGTCAGAGTAAATGCCATGTGAAAAGCCAGGAAGGCCTTCTGTACCTAGTCTATATGTATGATCTCACTCTTAATTTCTTTAGTCGCCCCAAGTATGAGAAGGGGCTAGAGGCACCTTACTAGATTTACATGAGCTTTAGGAAGAGGTGTGTAAAGTGCCAGGTCTGGGCTGAGAGTAACATGTGACGGAGACTGGTGGTCTCTCCCTCCATCCATGGCCTTCTACACTCCCTTGCCTATTCCTAATTTGAGACCCATGACCCCGAGTTCTGGCCATAAGCCTGGCCAGGTCCCCAACCCTTCACTTCCAACAGCCTTGGTACTACTCAAGATGAACCATGACAGGGACATTATATTAACTACTGTGCTGAACCACTGAAATGTTGCTTCTCTTTACGAAAGCACAGCATGCCCCATCTTAACAAAAATGCCACAGAAATAATTAGTCTTCATTTAGGTGGGTAGTGGTTATTAAGTAATGAAAAGGTAAAGATCTGTTGGGCTCCATGTCTTTATCTTTCACATCTCAAAATGTTCAGACTACATCAGAGTTGCTGAGGCTGGATGGGAGCAGATTTAAGAACAGCCTCAGCAGTGGCAGCAATGATTAGCTTGGTCAGGCTCACCCAAGCCCATCTCATGGAATCCATTTTGGTTGGGCCCACAGCTAGTGTTGGGGGGTGACATTGAAGGCAACACCATCTGAACTTTGTCCCCCTGGGGCTGACAGCATTTGGGATGAAGATGAAGGAGGAAGAGTGAGAATAACTGGGGTAGGTGGGCAACCAAGGGCTCACTGCAACCCCAGCATGAGCACAGCAGGGTGCACCCTGGTGATTGGCCTCTCTGTGACCCCAAAGTTACTGATGCAGTCTCCCAGGAGAGGCCGGGCTTCCTGTACCTGACTCGGGTCTGGAACAGGGAAGTGTGTGCATGTCAGATCTCAGGACGAGAGCCATTAGGCTGCTTGGCAGGGATTCTGAGGTGGTTGTTGCCAGAGTAGGAAGCAAAGCAATAGGTTCTTGTTGATAGCAATTGTTTCTGTAGTCAGACCAAGAAAACTAAGCCCAGGTACAGGACAGGTGCCCCTCAGAACCTGGTGATTCTTGTCTCCCCTCCGCCCCCCCTCCCCCAAATCTGGTACTTTGCTCCAGCAGGCCATGGCTGCTTGGCAGACCAAGCCTGTGTGGGCATGAGGTGTTTAAATTCCTGCACCACTGTGCTAGGTGTGAGAAGACAGCCATCAGAAGGGCCTCATGACCCATGGGGAAGCTTCCGGTCCTGTGGGAAGTCAATGCCAGGCCACCACTGTGTCAAGCAGCTCCCCCTCCACCCCCCCGCCCGCCCTGCCCCGCCCCCAGTAATGGTGAGGAGGAGGCACAGGCATGTGTGTGGTGCGATGAGAGAACAGGCCGGGGGGGGGAGGGGCACTGCACATGCTGTATAGTACAGGCTGTACTGCCCGGGAACTGCCCCATGGGCCAACACAAGCCAGCTAGAACTAAGCAGGAGATGGGGTAGTCACACAGAATCAGGGAGAGCACCCAGTGTCTTCAGTTGTGCACCAGTGCCAGGACCAATGGGCACTTACACAGGAGGTTCCCAGGATGCCAGCCACAAGACGAGACCGTGGTTCCACAGCTCTTGCTCACAGGGGTGCTGAATCCTGCCCTTGGGATGCAAGACTAAGGTGGCTGGTGGCTGGGAGAGAAAAATGCCCAGCACTAGTCAAGTTCTACTCACTCTTGCCAAGCAGCCAGTCCTGCTCAATCCCTGTCCACTACAGCCCTAAAAATCAGGGGAAGAAAAGCCCCTAGCTACTGCTCTGTCCCCAGGTGTACACAGCTAGGGGGAGTCTGAGGTCCCCTTGTAGACAGACAGTCCACAGTGACACAGTCTCTGCTGTTTGAGTGCACATGTGGGCCCTACCATCAGTTACCCCTTCTTGACTTAACATGCCCTGCTGGTAAGATTGGGTTTGCACACAATGTCGCCAATTCTTACACAGTCCATATTGTGTGAACTTACTAATCACAACCAAGGAGGCCATGGGCAGATTGCATTATGGCAGCCAACTGGAAAACCTTCACCTACAACCCTGCTCCAGAAGAGAGCTACTTACCGAAGACATCATCCCAACAAAAGCCCCAATCTCAACAAAGGAATACACGAAATATGAAAACAAAACAAAACAGTAATCTGACACTTTCTAGAGATGCTGGCTCAAGTAACAGATTCCAAAAAATACTGAAATAGTTGAAATGTCTAATGCCTGCTTTCAGGCGTTAGATGTCAATAGCATTAGATGTCAATAGCAGCTCAGTGAATCTGGAGAGCATTCAGACAAATAGATAAGCTTAACAAGAAAGGCAAGGCAGGATATGTATGAGATATTAAGGGAGATGAGGTCCTGAAAATAAAGAGCTCAACAAGTCAAATGAGTTCAGTACAAAGTCTCAGCAGAGCTTGAAGACAGAACTATCAAAAATGATAACACTCAGGTAAAGAAAGAATGAAGAAAGAACTCAAGGTGTTTGGCACATCATTGAATGATCAAATATCCACATTATTGGAGAAAATGAGTATAAAAATACAACACAAAGAATCAATGAAACAGTCGGTTCTATACATTACTACTCATACCACATAGGACAAAGTATTGTTAGGAATTATTTTGGAAAACTACATGCTAACAAATTGGAAATTTTTGGGAGCCATATGACCAACCAAAACTGAACCAAGAGGATATAAAAAATGAAAAACATAAGCAGACCAATAACAAGTAATGAGATGGACTCAATAAAAAGTTCCAAAACAGAACAGCCCAGGACCAAATGGCCTTACTATACCAAGAAAACACCAAATGAAACCTATAGACCAAAATCCACAAGGAACTAGATGTGAAAATCCCTAACACTAGCAAACCAAATCCAATAGCACATCAAGATCTTATACAGTGATCAGCTAGCTTCATTCCAGGGAGACAAAGATGGCTCACCATAAACTAATAAATGTAAAAATACATCAAAATAAAGGAAAAATCCTATCATCCCAATACATGCAGAAAAAAACATTTCACAAAAAGCAGTGTTGGAGGTATCAAAATTACAGACAGAGCTAGCAGTGAAAACATCTTGGTACGACACAAAGATAGGCCTAAGGACCAATAGAACAGAAGTCCCAGAAACAAACCTACAGGCATACAGCTATCTTAATATTTGACAAGGGAGGAAA